AAAAAAGCTTCAAGTTTTTCAGCCCAGCAGTGACCTGATCTGTTCAGACATCTGGAGTCATTTGGACTTTTACACTTGGCAGCAGCAAATTGAGGGAAAAGCTCAGCATCCACATCAGAGATGACTTACTGGATATTTCTCCAATGGCTCGATGAGCAGCGCATCTCCAAAGATTGTCCTGCAGTACTCTGCCATCTTAGCCTGCTGCTTTGCTCTGAAAGGACAGAGGAAATGGTTGGTTGGTTTAGTGTCCTAAAAATCATTAACCCAATAAACCCTGCATTGGTTTAGGAATGTTTTGCACTCTGAACACTGCACATGTTACAAAGCGAGCATTTCCTTCAAAGGATTGGATTTGCATCTGGTCTGGTATTAAATAAGCTGAACTCAAGCGTGCTGTGTTTATCCCTAATGCAAAGAGTCTGCAGAAGACCAAATCATCTGAATACTCCCGACAAAACACACACGGACGTGCAACTTACGAATCTACGTGGTTTTCAAAGGACAGGATGACGGGGTATGGCGAGGTCTTGAAAGCACTCTCTGCTATGGCTTCAATCACTTCCTGCAGTCAAGACACGAATGATAAAAACTCAAAACTGGACACAATCCCTCAGCACAGGTTTTGTTTGTTGAAAATTACTCCACAGTAAATTTTTTACAAGAGTAAAAAATAACACAAAACTGCAACTGATCAAGCTGATCAAGAGGAAAACAAAAACGTCAAAGAGAGCAGAATTGTGCCTGTGACATTTCTGCAGCAGCTCCCACCTTAAAGGGAATCTCAGTGGTCATGGTGAACCCGTGGGTGATGTAGGGCTCTTCATCTTGTGGTCGGCCCTTCCAGCAGTCCAGCTCAATACAGCGACAACCGGTGAGCAGCACCTGCCTATACATCTCCACCGAAGAATTCCCGGTCAGCTGGCCCACTAAGATACGAGAAGAGCTATGGGTTCAAAACCAAAAAGCGCCCAGCAAATGAACCATCACGCTTGCATGCATGCAGTTTACATGTCACACCTGTGAGGTACGTGTTGTGTGACGAGTTGATAAAGTAGTGAGAGAGCGGTTGGTTCATGTCGTCGATGATGTCCAGCCTCTCTGGAGGTACGATGGTGTTTTCCTCTCCTCCCAGATACCGACTGAATGCCTGCAAACTGATTTGGTCTGCAAGAAAGAACGCGATGACAGCGTTTCAAAACAGCCGGAAACATCCCAACAGATCAAAGACTGCTGTTCTTAGGAGAGGCATCAACAGGCGCAGAGGGCAGCCAGATGTGATCGCAGCAGGCAGGACAGCGAATCATCTCGCAGATCGCGGATTAACATAGTTATGGCTGTGCCGCTAATTTGTTCACAGGTTTATTAATATGTTTTATCCACAGATAAAGAACGGCCTTAGTACTTGACCAACGTTTTTTGGCCTGCTATCGCTTCATCGGGGTCATCAAGAACTATACTGTACATACAGCACTTTAAATAACATGCGTGTTTGAGGAGAGAGACACAAAATTGTAATAGGTCAGTTTTAAAAACAACCAATCACATCCACTGATTCAGCTCTGAATAAAAGCCTGATGCCACACAGAGAGTTACAGACCTCTCTCCAGCTGACTGGTGTTGGTCTCGTATTTCTCCATGATCTGTCGGACTTGGTCTCTTTTCAGCGGGGGGTAGAGCACCTCGTTTAGTCTGGAGTCTCTCTGCCTGCGGTTGATGAAGTCCATTAGCTGGTCTAAAGAGATGAACGGCTTCCTCTTGGAGCCACTGGAGCAGAGAGAAAATAAGAGTCCGAGTGTATAAAACGTACGCAAGAGTTTTACTAGAAGTCCTAAGACTATAGCTAGAGCATCCTTAAAGCGCACCTTTCCTCAAAGATGCTCTGGATCTCAGGTCGAAGACATAAGTTGTCGAGAAGCTTCTGGAAGGCGTCCCAGGTGATATCATCTGGTTTTATTCCCTCTGACTGAAGCAAAAAGACAGATTTGATTTTATAAACAGGCTCTGCCTCAAGCACACACATTTATAAGGTAATAAACAACAGACAGCATCACATTACACTGCTATGTGCTGTTGTCTAGAGAGAATATTATCAGGCTTTTATAAGCTGCATTGCTCTGAGTAACCAGCAGGAGGCTCCAGAGTACAGCAATCTAAAGAGAAATGCTGACAGCACATTTTGCACAATCTGGTATCTCTTCAAGAAAAAAAAAAAAGTCTTGTGACTTCAAACTGATTTTAGGAAAGATTGCACTGACTCATCAAAAAAGAATTTAAAAAATAAATAAATAAAAAACTCATTTTACCTCAAACCCACAGGGTTGAGGTACTGTACACAGCAGATACAAGCAAAGATTAGCAGAAAGTTGTTTTAGAAAGAGAGTTTTAGTAGAAAGCATGTTACCATGATTAACATTTTAACCGCAGGCACACTGTCGAGAAAACAAGATTCATGGTCATCTTTAGTTTGTTGTGTAAATTGGTTTATTTCCATTGTTGCTCAAATGAACTTCAAGTTTTTATTGGGTGTGAAAGAAAGTACTGTAAGAGAAAGAGTTGCATTTTATGTAACAATTACTTAAAGTTTAGCAAAACACTACGTGCAAGTTGCAGTAATCAAAGCTAGTCAGTTAGCTAGCTATGATATGTTTAGCTAGCTATATGTAGTAGCTGAAGCAGCCAGTTTACCTGTTCATTTATTAGTTCACCTGTATTTTCAGTGCTTTCGCCGCATTATTAAACTGTTTCATCAATTTGTATTTTAGTATGCAGTTGTGTACAACAGTTGTACAACAAAGGATTTACATTTGTATGTTAGCTTGCTAGGTGGTTTTTAACTCAGGGTAACATGTGGCTACAGATAAAAGCTAGAAATGTTAGAAGCTGTGTTTAAAAACTGTGTGGCCAATATTATTTGAATACAAACATGCCTCTAAGAGCAGCATGTTATAACTGTTGTGTAAGAGTACAGGCAGCAGCTAGCGCCTCTCTGTAACAAAATCCACAAACAAGCATTTCACGTATTAATTTCACGTGTTACGTCTTGTCCTGCAACCCACTGAAATCTTACTATTTTCTTTTATTGCTACTCTTCCACGGGCCTGCCAACTTTTGTTGCCTTCCTTGCACGGCAAAGACACACCAAGAACACAACTATATGCAACGCCTCCGCAGTTCAGTTCATTTCAGCCATTCTCGATGCATACACCAGTTCACCAAACCCATATGTCGACTATCCATGTGATCAGTGATTTTATTGAGTGATTACCTTGTTATTAATGAGGCCACACTGCTCCAGAGCTGTCTCCACTCTCTTTTTATCAGAAAACATCTTGATGACACTAAAAGTACAAAATTACATTCAGATCAAATGTTTACAGTGACGCGTACAAGCAAAAAGAGTCAGAAACCTAAGAAGTGATTGTAAACATAAAAAAATCAGAGTCACTATAAAAGAGCTGAGAGAGAAAGTGGAAGAGAGACAAAGAAGAGGAAAAGAAAGAAGAAGTGAGGAGCAGTTTAAAACGTGGTTGGCGAGGGTGGTACTCACTTCTTCACTGGAATCTTCCCTTCCTGGTTCACTTGAAGCTTTAACTTCGTGTACCTGACAAAGACAAAGAACAGTCAAGTATGAGTATTTTTTAATCATCGAAAATTCGCAGCATTGTAGGACGACACGCACACAAACTCTTACGCTTTGTAAAGAAAGGTGTTCCGCGATACATTCTGGGAAAGTATGTTTGTGGACAAAGCGAACAGCTCATCTGACCAAATCTGGAAACACACACAGACATGAAAGCATAAAAGACGGTTGTTTAACTGTTCACCTCATGTTAAACCTTGGTGAAACAGTTACTATATACAGTGGAGCAGACACACACAGGAATTAATCTCTGTTTTTAGCTACTTAACATACGCACGCCTTTATGTCAACGTAAAGTAAGCAATCAGCTCAAGGCTTGAGGGAATAAAGTCAGGTGCACAGGTAGGAGTGCAGTGGGGGACATGAGGATGGAAAAGAGGAAAAGAAAAGGAGGAAATACATTAAACTAAATTATTTGGACAGTTAAGTTAGTTAAGAATTGTGGTTACCTTCGCTACATCCGCTTGCAAGGCCTGGAAGTTGAGGAAAGAAATGTTGACCAGGTCATTGCCATAGACGACGGTTAACAGCTTCCCTTCTCCGTTCACCTCCTTAGTAAGGCCCAGCAGTTCTCTCATCTTTGCGTCCTGGCACACAAAGATATTTATGCTTTTTCAGGATGTTTCATTACACGGACACAATCTAGCCAATTCAACAACGATCTGAACACTGAGCAGACAGATAAAACTCGTCCGTGTCTCCATCTCCTGAGGATATTAAATGTGATGCATGCGGTGTAGCGCCCTGATCTAATTAACCAAACGACTCTTTCCTCCTTTTTAGCCGACCCTGTGTTCCCTCCACCAACTCTCTCTAACACTCAATGGCTTTCTGTCAATTATAGATCACTCTTGTGACATCATGTCTCTCTTTCATTTCAGTTAAATACATTAGCCAGGAGCACTCTTTATAGACGGTTTATAGGGAATATAGTGCTGAAGAAACACACAAAATGCTCAAAGACGGCGTCCATACTACTAATGTTCACATATCAACATATGAAAATACAGAATCTGTAGCTAAGGGGCACAAATATTCGAGCAGGATTTGGTTGGAAGCAGGTAAATACTTCACATGGAGACCAAATCAGGAAGTCTCACCCCAGATTGTAAATCTCAAAGGTGTCGTACAGTAGCTGATGGTTTCCTAGATTCATGCTAACATGAGAGAGGAAGTGCAACCATGAATTATGAGAAGGCTCTTTAATAACAGAGATATCATCCACTGATTATAGCAGGTTTAGTCAATATTTTTAATGCACTTTTCATACTATAACCACGGTATGACATAAAAAATAAGACTTTATCTTACCACTTCAAGAACCATTTGTAATAAACACTTTAACGTGCAGAATGAACTCGCCGCACATCTGTGTTTGAATTGTTTACCACTAATACGCGCCCATATTTCACACTCTGCCTTGGTCAGATCTAGGCTCTTACACAATGACTTCCTCACTAACAGTCGCTGGTTATATCACTTCCTGTCTGATAGTCCATCTGTCATCAGCCTCATTAGCACTCCATCACCTTTGCACCATCAGCTGAGAGAGGAAACGCACATGAATCGTTTGGCGACAGTCACATTTGAGCATCACATTTGTGGTCAGGGGACAAAGTAACAGCTCCCCCCCCCCCACACACACTTTTCTCCCACACAGGCATAAACAAATATTACCAACCTTTGGCTGTTTGGCATACTTTCCCGTTCTGGTGTCCCTGATGTAACTGATGTCCAAAATCTCGACATCCTACAGGAGAGAGGAATATCAAAAGATTTGTGTTATCACACACACTCAGTGAAAGCGTGTGAGAGCAGGACAACTAATCTTTATCAGTCAGCTTATTAAACGGGTGGGGAAAGAGGAAATTGTGAGATGTAAGTTCATCTATTTCTACACAGTGTCATGCACACATATCATATTGTTTCCCTGACTCTGAGGGCTTCTGATGTGATACATGATTATAAATCAAGAAATACTTGATGGACTCATAGAAATAAATAGAGGAAAAACAGATCTAATACACAGGATCCATGCAGCACAAATAAAAGCCCTTACACTCTCTGTGCAGAGAGCTGGACTGATTAATATACGGTGCATCCATTCATCAAAGAGAAATTTGGGTGAAATGATCACATGTGTTTCTGGTGGTTCTGAATCTACTTTTATTACTTATTAGGAGGTTTTGGGTTTTTTTGGATTATCAAAATCTCGATTGGAAAACGTGCTTTAACCAATAATGGTGGCCGAGCCTCCTTACGCACCACCGCTCTCGTGTCACATACGGGTTTTAAACATATTATTTACTGCTGTTAGCAGTTTATGTAAGACGCAGCGAACAGAAATGCTGATAGAGCAAAAGTCTGCTGCTCTTGCATGGAGCAGTGTGGGAGAAAGAGAAAAAAATTGAATAAAAGCCTGTGCAGAAATTAATTCCTCAGGCAAAAAGCTCATGCGCCGTCTACCTCGTTCCATTAAAACCTCTTTTATTTATCTTTCATTAGACTCCACCGCTTCTCTAGACACAAGACACAAGCAGTGACATATGAATTGTGAGGGTGACTGAAGACAGACAATGGCAAGGGACTCTGCACACACACAGCGAGGAGGACAGATCTTTGGAGAACATTTGCATGTTTGATGCTGCAGCACAAATATATACACACATGAACGCATGCACGCACATGCAAACGAGTAAAAAACGGAGACAGAAACGAGTGAAAAAGAGGTACTCTGTAATAGCGACTGGCAACAATTACACCCTTAACTTAGCCTCGAGGTGACGAGGGGAGACAAAAATGGAAGGGTCGGACAGGAGGAGGGGAGCGTGGTCGTAAATCCAGCCATAAACACACGTGAGGATGCATGCATCGCCTTGTGTAAATATTTGTTTAGTCCAACACTCGTTCCCCAAAGCTGTTTTTACTTCATCCATGTCACCAAGTCACTGCTTTTTATCGTCGCTTGCCCTTCTGGGTCTGAGCAGTGAGTTTGATGCATTGAGTTTTTCCTTTCCAGTCACCTTTCTCACTCACTATGTATTAATAGACTTCTCTGCATTGAATCATATCTGTTATTAACCTCTGTCTCTCTTCCACAGCATGTCTTTATCCTGTCTTCCTTCTCTCACCCCAACCGGTCGCAGCAGATGGCCGCCCCTCCCTGAGCCTGGTTCTGCCGGAGGTTTCTTCCTGTTAAAAGGGAGTTTTTCCTTCCCACTGTCGCCAAAGTGCTTGCTCATAGGGGGTCATATGATTGTTGGGTTTTTCTCTGTATCTATGAAGCGCCTTGAAGCGACTTTTGTTGTGATTTGGCGCTATATAAATAAAATTGAATTGAATTGAATTAAATTGAATTGAATTTAATTGAGCGACTTTGCTTTAAAAACCTTATGACTCTGTGTTATGATGTCATCAGTGAAAAATATAAAGCATTTGTGTCTCCAATTGTGTTGTTTTTTTGCACGAGTCTGCACTTGTTTATGTTGTCAAACATGTCATTTTCATTCCTTTTCCGTGTTCTGCTCATACTGTATGCTCTGTCCAACATAACAGCAAAAACATTTCACAGTATTTAAACTTGTCCCTTCCTGATTCCTATGTCATTATTACACTCGGGTTGTGATTTTACCACCCTGCAGACCGTCTCCTCCCCCGGGATTGGTTGTGAGTATTAAAGGTCAGAAGTGTTGGACCAATTGGATTAAACTCTGTCTCAAACCTTGTCCTCTGATTGGCCTGTGGAGAATAACTTGCTTCCTGGGGGAATAAACCACTTCTGGGTCTGTAGGACACACATTTATGTGCGCACGCACATGTCTTCTCTCCCACAGGCCATGGTTTCATTCTGCCTTTGCCATGGTGACTCCTTGGAGACCACAGAAATGAGTCTACAAGTTGGTCTGCGGACTGTGTGTGCGCCCGTGTCCTTAACAGTTAACATTTTTGCACTCTAACACACACACTCAACACCAGTGATAATGCACGCAGACATATCCTTGATGTGCAGGTCGCAACTTGTGAAACATCCTGACCTGTTGAGCAAGACGGGGTGTGTATGTGTGAGTGTGCAAACGCATGTGTGTCTGTGTGTGGAAAAACCTTGCAAGTCAGTGCACATTGGATACACAGAATGCGAGAAAACCTTCACGCAGGATGAGTACGAATGTGTCAGCATGTGATCGGCAGAATGTGCCAAATGAAATCTGTGTTTTGCCACTAGGTCGTATTTCCAAGTGCATGACGTGGTGTGTGAGTCTGTGTGAAGGTCGATCTACTCTGAGAGCACATTCCTGACATATTCCATCCTTCTGCCCATTTGGCGCGTGTGTGCATCCGTGTGTTTCAGTGTGTAATATTTAAGCTAGTAACGGCAGCTGTAGCGCTCCATTCATCTTTTCTGTGCAAACACCAAACACAGCTCACTCTATTTATCACTTCAGACTCAGCTGCGGGCTCATTACTGCTCTGAATGAGTCCGGTTATGAGTTTTCCAGGAGCTATGTTGTGATAAAGTGCTATAAATTACTTTAATTTACTGTTTTTGCTCGACCCAAGAATTTTTCCTCAGCCTGCTGTGTGCACTTCAGCTTCAGTTAGCAATTTCCTACATTTCCCAGAATGCACACCCGCTCTTTTTACAGCGATTACTGTGAACTTGTTGCACTCTGCTGTGGATTACACAGGCAGGTGGCTGACAAAGCGTTCCCACCAAAGAAAAGCTGAGGCGCACCCTTCAGAACAATTCATGTTTTATGTATGTTTCCGCGCGCTGACGCCAAGGAAGTGATACTAAACTGTCGCTCTTTCGATAAGTGAATTATTTTAATAAACCACAAAAGCACTAATGTAACGCACTGCTGCATAATAGTGGGCTATTATCCGCATTTGTTGCGAGCCATTATGTAAACTAGTGTAAAAACTGCACTAAACATGCAGTACCTTAATGTGACACCGCTTCCTCCGCTGTGTGGGTTTGTTTTTGTTTTGTTTTTACAAGCTCAACAATGAACTGTGAAGTTCAAATTTCAGGCCAACATCAACAACACATCATAAACTTAAAGAAATGACAACTTAGAAATCTACAGGCACCTGCAAATAAGAATCAAGTAATATGATCCAGATCTCAATGTTAAATATTAAACGAACCATTATTACGCCAGTTGTTGTTTAAACTTTTAGATAATGTTCAGTGTGCCAGGGAACCGAGAAGAAGGCTTACCCGGCATCTTGAATCTCGCACTCCACCCCAGGGCTGGCTAGAGTCCCGCTCACAGCCACACAACTGATGTTTGAAATGATTCATTACGTCACAGGAATACAGTCTGATTTTCGCATCTGGGCCCTCCAGAGCTGCGGAGCTGACATGCCAGAGGGTGAGATGGGAAGCTCTGCAGCTCAAATAAATCAACAAAACTGGGAGGCTGTGTTTGATGTATGACATGATGACAGCGAGGCATGTTAAGAGTGTATAAAGTAGCGTCGCCGAAAGGATTAAATACAAAACTGTGCAAAGCGACCACCCTCCTGATGCAACGCTCCCCATTTATCCGGACAGTTGGAGTACACAGACTTGTGACAACTTCCCCCCTCCCCAGCACATTTCTTTCCCCTCATAATCCAAACCATCATGCCACTCCAGTTCAACAATAAAAGACTTATTATATGGCAACAAGAACAACAATATACTACAAACAAAAAGTGGGCAAGAAAGAAGAATCACACAAGCTGAACTCGGTCCATCCAGTGTCTGGGATCTCGCAGGTAGAGTCAGGCCTGTTTTTGGAAGAACTCTTCCCATTCTTACCTACAGTAAGAGGAGATGTCTGTTTTTTTCCACTCAATACAATACAAGCAACGCCCAGGAGCCAATCTGACTGGCACAAACACAGGGAACTGGCTGTGCACAAAAGCAACACAACCTGTCTCGTTTAATCAACAGAAAACATGTAAATCTAAACGCTGATGTTTCTTTCTTTACTAAAAATTAACCAAAAACTCTTAGGCTTCTCACTTTTTTTATGTGGATATCGGTATGCGAAATATAACTTTAAAAGGCGGACGTCGGTTGACTTTCCACACAGAGCTGGGTTAATCATCATTCATAGCTATGGGGGGTAGGGGTTGCAGCTCAGGCTATGTCTTAATGTTTTATTGTTTGCATACAGAGGTGAGTTTGATCCAGCAATAACTAGTAGGTCAGTCTATATTTAGTCACTGAAGTGAGTACAGTAAAACGCTGCCGCATTGCGATTAGGGCCTTGTTCACTTTCACTCCTTTCCTTCATTTCTTTGATTGACTTCCCGCTTCCCCTCGTCTCTCCTGCCTCGCCGCCGTCCCCCATTCATTTTCTCAAGATTAGAATAATATGAAAGGGCAACTAAACAATCAGGGGAGCGCCACTCCTTTCCTGCAAGTGTGTGTTTGAAAGATCACCGCTGCTAAATACGTCTCAAATGACCAATCACAGCTCCTATCAAATGGCACACAATGACGGCATAAAAGGAAACTGATACCTCCTGAGCGCTCATACATGCACACTAGCAGGGACAGCTAGGCCAGGACGGCGTGCGTATCCACCCTAGACTTTTCTGGCTGGGACCCAACGGGCCAATCAGTGCACAGCAGTGGAGAGGTAACAGACAGAAGAGGACTTTAAAGGACACAGAAACAGCAGAGACGTAAAACAAAGAGAGCTTTAAACTGTTTTATGGCTCTGATGGGAGACTTGGCAAGGTGTTTATAGAAGG